ATTTTTTAATTAATTGTTAATTAATTTAAAAAGAAAGAAAAATTAATCAATGATTATTACCAATAATTCATTGTTATTATCAATAAAATTAATATCAATAAAAAAAAAAAAATTTTATCAATAAAATTAATCAATGATTATTACTAATAATTCAATCATTGTTATTGGTACTACTTACTTATTACTATTACTACTTACTTACTTACTACTTACTACTACTTGTCATGCTGAATAAATGCTAAAAGAAAAAAAAAAGCTATAATAGCTAATGTAAATTTAAAAATATATGCTATATAGGAGTAAAAATTTTTTGTTAATAATTCTAAATTTTAATCAAAATTAAATAATTTTATTAAAAAAATATTTTCTTCTTTTTTCTAAAAAAAAAACCTTTTACACTTTTTTTTTTTTTTTTTTTTTTTGTATGAATACATTGAATATTAAAATAATAAAATAGATTAAATATTAAAATAAGCCATTGAAATAATAATTTAATAATTAATTTCCATAAAACAAATAAAAAAAAAAGGGTGAAGAAAGGAAAATGGGAGAGAGAGAGAGAGAGAGAGAAAAATAAAAGAAGAAAATATGAAAATATGACAGAGTGATATTACATATTTGAAATAATCGAAAAACAAAAATTCTCAAATTTTGACAACTTAAGTTAGTCTTAGAATTTCCAGTTGACAAGCATATAAAATGTCGATGATAAATTAGTCTAAAGTTAAAAGCAAAGTAATATAAAAGGGATTGCTTACTACTTGTCATGCTTCTTGCATATGTTGTAAATTTCATTTCTCTTGAGAGATGGAATCATTGTAAAATAACCAAAAGTGGAAATAAAACCTTTTAAGAAAAAAAAAAAAAAAAAAATGAAATTAATCTGATTTCTTTCTTTTTCTCTTTTTTTTTTTTTTTTGTAAGAAGCTAAAATTTCTTATTCATTTCATCTAATTATTATTTTTCTTTCTTCAAAAATAAAAATTTCTCCTCCTTTTATTTTTTTTTTTTGTTTGCACAACTGTTTTTATGATAAAAAACAATAAATAACAAATATTCAAATACACATAAGTTATATTTCAAAAATGAAATAATTTTAAAAAGACGGCAAATGATGACATCTATTCCATTTTTCCATTCAAAATATTCATTTTTTAAACAATAATCAATTTTGTTTAGTTTATTTACATTTAAAAAAATAAATAATTCATGTGAATTATTTATTTTAAATAATTGTTAAAATTTCAAATATTTCTCAGTCATATACAATTCGATATATTCTTTTAATATATGTATATACATGAATTATTTGAAAAACAAAAAAAAAAAAAAAAATAAGAAAGTAAAAAGAAAGAAATGAAAGATTAATTAATGTTTGAGTTCATTTAGTGATTAAACTTGTTTGATAAAACTTTTTATTGATAGAAAAGATGAAATAGCAATGAAGAAAATGAATTTAGATGTGATGAAAAATGTTGTAGCGATGAAAGATGCTATATTAATTAGTACTTTTTTATAAAAATGCTATCAATTTTATCTATTATCGATCAAATAGCAATGCATTTGCAAATTTAAACTTTTGTGTTTAGTTATCTGATGAAAACGACTAATCAATCGTTTCAAATTTTGTTTTTCATCGAATTTATATATTTACTTAACTTTATTGTTGATTTGATTAAGAAATAGCAAAAATGATTAATGTATTCTTGATTAATTTTCAAATTTTAACAACAATATCATATCAATATTCCGAACGAAGTAAATCTGAGTTGAAAACTTTATGAGTAAAATATAAACTTTTAAAATTTACAAATTTACATTAAACAATTGATAGAATTAAAGGATTAAAATATGGAAATAGTACTCAAATATGAAAAACAAAAGAAAAAATTAAAATTTTTAAATAGGAAAAAAAAATTGTAAAAGTAAAAATTATCAATGTAAAATTTAAAAGATACGAATGATAATGAAAGACTTTCACGATAAATGTAATGGAATAATAGATTTAACAACAACAAAAAAAAAAAATACTTTAAAAAAATGAACGAAATAAATTTTCAATACAAATGGAAAACAACTGTTTAATGGAAAAAAAAAAAAAAAAAAATTGAAAAAATTTGTATCGTTCCAGTAAAAATGCACTTCATACCAACTGTTTCTCTATTTACTATCATTAAAATAAATGAAATCCTATTTGTTGTTGCTTTTTTCGGCTCAAATAAGACAAATAGTTGAATAAGAAAGAGACAGAGAGAAAGAGAGAGAGGGATATTTGCGCCTTTTAATTTATAAAGAAAAATACAGACTTGTTGTTTACCTGTTGTATTTATTACATTTAACAAATAATACTCTAATATACGTAAACATGTAAATGCGTGTATGTGTATGTGTATGTGTGTGTGTGTGTGTATGTGTGTGTGTATGTGTGTGTATGTGTGTGTATGTGTATGTGTATGCATGTTGAAACAAAGTTTGAAGTGGTAGTAGATAAGCTAATAACTCAATTAATAAACAACAAAATTGAAGAGTTAAGTAATCAAAATTTTTCATTAGCAAAAAGCTTTTTAAAGTTCACTATAAAATGATTGAGTTTAATGTAATTTTGAAAATAGAAATTAACTATAACATATAAATAATCCATTAATAAACTTATAATTTTTCATTTCAATGATATCTTAAAAGTATAACATTATACGATGTATTTTGTTTATTTTTTTGTTTATTCATTTTCAGTATAAGAAACTCTCGCGGTGTTAAATTTCAATTACCTAATTTATAATTTAATTACCTAATTCTTTTAATTATTCTTTCTCGATTATTCTAGATTGGATATTTTAAATTTTTTGAGAAAATAAAATAACAAAAAAAATAAGCTAAAATAAAATAAAACAATAACAAGAACAAAGCAAAAGAAAAAACGACAACAATTAACTTATGAAAAAAAAAATTTTTTTTTTTCATAAGTTTAAAATTTTCAAAATTAAAAAAAAGCAATTAAAATTTTCAAAATTAAAAAAAAAAATAAAAATAAATTGAAAATATGAATGAATTTTTATGAAAATGAAAATTGAAAATAAACTTTTACAATGAAATACATTTAATAAATATTCAAATACAGTATCCAATTAATTTTCATGTTTTACGCTCAATTAAATTTGTATACGTATTTCATTTTGTTTTAGTTTGAAAATGGCAAATATTTAAGTGTGTGTATATCTACTTGAAAGATTTTATATCTATTATGAATACTTACTTAATAAATCATCAATAGACGTTAACTTCATTAGTTGCTATGAAACTAATGAAACGTCCTTACGTGAAAACGTAAAATTTGTACAATACTTCATGAGACATTCAGGTGAGTAAATCTCTTTCATTACGTATGTAATTTTCTAAGCCATTACTTACTTAATTACTTACTTACTTACTTAGACACATCAATGATACGTAGCTTTTTTGAATCTCTTTAATTTGCATTTTTTAATTCCATCAAATCATATTCGATCATAACTAATGTGATCATTTACACAACTTCAAGAAAAAAATGTTTCCTCCTTTTCATCATTTTTCTGCTTCCTTGATCCCAAATTCAGAAATTCAAAATTTAATGAGAAATTGAATTAACATTCATAAATTAAAATTTAAGCAAGTTTAGGCAGTGAATCCTTAATTAATTCATTTATTTTTATATTACTAAAAAGCAAAGAAATAAATATATGTGATTATTTAGGCATACAAAATAAGTACATGAATGAATTTTAATTAAAAATTAAAAAAAAAAAAATTTCAATACGATCAATTAAAGCAATATTACGATAATAAATAAAGAAAGGAGAAAAAAAGGAAGAAACGAAGAGAAAGTAAAGAAGAGGAAAAGTTGTACTGGAAGCTTTGAAATGTTTAAAGTTAATCTGATTGATCAGCTAAGCTGCCAATATTAAGCAATGAGTAACAAATTAGTTTAAGTACAAATAGTTATAAAAATGATGAACATTAGCCAAGGAAATATAAGCCTAGGATGATAGACATCTTGGCTCATTTCGAATTAACTATCCTCTTTACTATATGACATTTCAAATTCCTCACCAATCATAACTTATCTAACTTTAAACCTCCAAAATGAAGCTTTTTTTTTAGCTTAGAATAAAGTCACAATGATTGACATTTTTTTTTTTTTTTTTTTTTTGGTAGTCTAAAAAATAAAAATCGTTGTTTTTTCTTCGATTATAATATTAAAAATGCATTGTAAAGTTAAGAAAAAACTCATGATTACAGTTGAAATTTCATTTGTTTAAAAATTGAGAAATTTTTAAAAGTTTAATAAATTTATTTTTTGACTAAATTTGTGTGAAACTTTGCTTTGTTTATTGCTAGCATAAATGAAAGATGGCTTTAATATAGGAATTATCTAACAATAATACATATTTGATATAATATTATTCTTGCTAATTTATGATTTTTGATCACAAAATTTGCTTAATATAATATCATTCATTCATAAGAATTTCCAAATTTTAGTTAAATTTGGCATTTGAATCCGGCATCTGATCAATTTTCCGATTCTATCAAATTTTCAATTTAATAAATTCTATATTTTGATCAATTTATCGATTCTACCAAATGTTCAGTTTAATAAATTGAATAATTTTTATGATCTGAACTGATGATATTTCATCGAAATTTGTTTTTGTTTCCTTGGAAACACATTTTGAAGATGAAACGTTGCTAAGCAACCATTCCGTCAATTTTATTAATCATAAAGTATGCTTTTAAAATTTTATTCCCAATAATAATTAATAGCTTTTTAATCATTTTCGCCATCTATAATATTTGTAATCTAATAAATTATTTAATATATGAATTGATGTAATAATGTTAATAAATGATTTTTTAAATTTCATTTTGTCATAAAATTTTTTTCAAAAAGTATTTCAAATTTAAAGCTAAGTTTCAGCAAAAAATAAAAATAAAGAAAAAAAAAAAGAGGAAGTAATCCTTGAATGATGGAATTGACTTTGACAAGAATTGATTATGCACAAATTGGTACTACATGCAAACGATCAATGCGAATTATTCCAACTAATCAAAATACAAAGAAAAAATCAAAATTTCTAGATAAGGTAATTCAGTTTTTTGCTTTTTTCCCACAGTGAATTTGTTGAGATTTGAGTTTTTATTGAATTTTAGATTGTTTGTGGTGGCCATAGCGGAACTGTCCTGTGTTTTGGTAGAAAAGATGGTGAAACACAAGTATGACATTTGAAATTATTATTGATAATTAGATTATTCTAATTTGAATGGCGCAAAATGTGAGTGTAATGAATGTGCTATTATTCGTTCAATAAACAGCTTCTAGGCATTTTATTTTAAATTTTAACTATTTGAAAAAATGTGTAATATCATTTTATCATAATTACATTAAGTAGGATTCAAGAATACTCAAGAATGGAAAAAATCTAAATGATAATTATGCTTAATTTATTAAGTTAATGTACAGGTAATTTTTAAAACACCTCCTGGGCCAAAGGTGGTATGCATTTGTCTGGGTGGCGCACTTGGAATGATACAAGATAAAATTTTTTGTGCATATGAAGATCGGGTCAAAGGTTATACAAAAAAAGGCAAACAATTTCTCACATTTGATTCGAATATGGTTGAACCAATATCATGCATGTATGTTCCCTATTAAAATTATTCAATTTTCAATTACACTTATTTTTTTTAGCAACCAAAAAAAAAAAAATGTTTCATTTTATAATATATTTTTTTTTTAAAGGAAAAAAAAATTTATTAGTTGAAATCAGTTTTTTATATAATTTATGAAATAATTCTGAAATTTGAAGTTTTTTTTAAATGATAAAAATTAATTTATAATTTTATAATTATAAATTTGTTAGTTTTTATGAATCAGTGAAATCTTTTGTTTTTTTTTTTTTTTTTTGATAGAAAAAGCAATTTTTTTTAATGATTTTAAAACTTTTAAAAGTTTATTGCAGGTATATATATGGCGTTGAAATGTTTCTTTGTGCTGAACGAAATTTTAATCATTTTCATGATTGTGTTGATGCTAATGTAAGCTTTTTCATTAAGCGATATTCAATTGAAAGTATTATGCAAATTTTGAAATTACTCAAAATTTGTCGATTACTGTCGCCAAAAGGTAAAAAGATGAAATACTAACACATTAGGAATACTTTCATTACTGTCAGACTTATTTGTGCGGGGATCAAATCAACGATGTACTCTGTTTACCGATAGTAGAAGGTTCATGGGTCGGTCGTGGTATTACTCCAATTATTGCATGCAATGATAAAACTATTAAGGTAAGTAAGTAAGTAAGTATTCCTTTGTGTATTAAGGTAAGTAAGCATTTCATTTATTTCATATTATATTCATTAATAATTAATGAATATTTCATGTTAATTAAAATACCTGAATTATTGGTAAAATATTAATTTAAAAATTTTTGAATTGAAATTTATTTATTTATAACAATTAAGATATTTAACAAACAAAAAAGCTTTTTTTAAATTTATTAAAGATTATGAAATAAATAATCCTTTGAAATAACAATTAACAATAATGAAATCGAATTAAATTTTGTTAAATTTCAGGTAATTGAAGGTAGCAAACTAAGCTATGAAATAGGTTTGAACGATATACCAAATGTGTTACATCTTTTTATGAATGATGGAGGTATGATTGATAATTGAAATGAAATTTCTTACTCTGAGATTTCAGATTATGCATGCATCTTTATGATATATAATCTTTTGTTGAGATTTAAATTAAAATGAAATGAATTCCGATGTGCAATACCATTATAGCATTATAGGTTTCAACAAGCAAAAAGTTCTTTATGGTACCAAAGATGGTCATCTTGGTTTGGTAGATTTATCACCAGAAACTGGAACATTAATATGGGAAATACCAACAAAAAATGCAAGCAGTATATATTCTAATAATTTTTAATTAATCAATTAAGAAATAATTTGAAATGATAATAATTTAATTTTAATTTTAAAACTTTAAACAGTTATAATATGTGCATGAATATCATAGTATTCTGATGTATTCATAATGCTAACAAATAGATTATCCATTTATCCTTATCTGTGCTTCTTATCAATGCAAAATCCCTATCATAACATTTAGCTACGTTTCTTATCAATGCAAAATCCCTATCATAACATTTAGCTACGTTTCTTATCAATGCAAAATTGTTATCACAGCATTTAGCTACGTTTCTTATCAATGCAAAATCCCTATCATAACATTTAACTACGTTTCTTATCAATGCAAAATCCTTATCATAAATTTAGCTACGTTTCTTATCAATGCAAAATCCTTATCATAAATTTAGCTACGTTTCTTATCAATGCAAAATCCTTATCATAACATTTAGCTATGTTTCTTATCAATGCAAAAATCTTATCATAACATTTAACTACGTTTCTTATCAATGCAAAATTGTTATCACAACATTTAGCCATAACATGCATTTGTTGCTATCCAATGACCAATGGATCAACACCAAATATTATCATTGGTAAAGAGGATGGACTCATTGAACTTTATGTGGTTGATAGCACTGATAAAGCTACTTTCTGTCAAAGTTATGTAAGTTTGACTTCTTTCTAATTTTTGTAAATCAATTTAATCAATTATTATATCAATTATAATCAATCATTTAGTTTTCTATTATTTATGAATTCATTAATTCTTCTGAAATCTTTCATTATATGTTTACAATCTGGAAAAAATTCCTGAAGATTCATTGATTGTTTTAAATATTTAAAGTTAATTCATTTCCAATTATCATTATTCTATTATAATCATTTCCAATTATCATTGTTCTATTAAAGCAATGTGAAGATTCTGTGCTAAACGTTCAATGTGGACGAGTTTCATCGCCCGATTTTGATGAGATTGTTGTTTCTACTCATATCGGTTGGGTTTTTGCACTTACCACAGAACCAATCGACAAATTAAATTCCACTATGGCATTATCACCTCAGGTAGAGGTCAAGGTTCAAGAGCTTAGGTATTCTATTTATTTTATTATTCATTTGTTGTATTTGACAGTGATTTTTTTTATTTAAAAGTAAAAATTTAAAATTTAAAAATGATCATTTTTTAATTTTTGGATGGTAAAATAAAACTTTTCCTTGGACTCAATTATTTGACAAAACTTTTTTTTTTTTTTTTTTTTTTAATATTTTGACAAATAATTTATTGAAGAAATGAAATTGAAAATTTGCAACAAAAAATTGACAAAGAGCAACAACGATATAATGAAATAACAGTGGGAAAAGATGTTGTATCAGTAGTGATACCAAATTTTATCATTCATGATCAATTTAAACTTGATAAAGAAACTATCTGCTATTCATTGATCATTGAACTTACTATACCAATTGATTTCGTCTTACTTCAGGTTTCAGTTATTACTTTAAATATCATTTTACATTCATTTTTTTGCTTTTTTTCTTTTTTCTAATTTAACACAAATTAACAAATTTGTTACTATCATTCATTTCTAATCAATCGATTACTGATTAGATCAATTAATCCTGCATATTATCAATTTCAAAATAATTTTCTTTTTATCCTCCAAAATACTTCAATTGAATCACTCAGAGTGATATTACAATCGAATTGCTTGATGTTGAGAAGAATGCAGCGGTTGTTTCGATTACACCACCGGATGAAACGGTCAGTTCTGAATGTTTTATTTTTTTTTTTTTCCGACTATTTCAGTCAATTATTTAATATATTTTGATTAATTTAAACTAAATTAATTTCACTAAATTGAAATGCTTCTATTTTCGAAGCAAAAAAAAAAAAAGAAAAAAAAATTATTCTAATTGCTAAATTACTTACAATTATTATTATTATTTCAGTCAAAAAATCTACTACTAGCAACATATCGTTGTCAAGCAAGCACAACAAGAATGGAAATTAAAATTCGCTCATTGGAAGGACAATGTGGAAATTTTAAAGCATATATTTGCCCAAAAATTCATCCCAAAACGTGTCAGGTGTTCATATTTTAGTGCTAAAATTATTTTTTATTTAATAAATTTTAATCGAAAAAATTTTTCAATTATTTCTTGTACATTCATTCAATAATGAATCAAATATGAAATTTAATTCATACTTCTCCTTCTTTTTTTTTTTTTATTTGATAAATTTGAAATTTTGAATTAAGAATAGTTTTTGCTAATTTATCTAAAATATTATACTTAATTATTTAGGTACGTAATTATGTGATTAAACCATTATCATTGCATCAACGAGTGCATCAGTTTAATACATCGATGCCAGTGAATGTATTAAAATTAATTGGAAATTTTTCAATTGCTGAAGCGCATCATTGGTTAAATCTTTTGGTATCAGAAATACCAGACCGACCACCATTACAGGACTCTGTTACATATAATTTCTCATCAATTTTTATTGGTACACAAATGCAAGTTACATATAGGTTAGTCATTTTATTTAATGACTAAAAACAAATTAATAAATGAATCTTTTATTTTTTGTTATTAATTTGATAATGGATAAATTGTGCTATAGTCTAAGATAGAATTAATTATTCATATACTTAATCTCTTTACTTTCTTTATTGATTAGTAGTAAAAGTTTTAATAACATTTACTCATCTTTTTTCCTTTCTGAAATTAATGAATTTCTCACTTCAACATTGCTAATATTTACCAATTTATTAGCAATATTGCCCTAATTAATCAGTAAATTCTTCGTTTACTTTATCATAGTACTAATCCATAGTGTAAGTAAAATGATAATGATAATATATTTGAATTTTCATCTTTTTGTTGACATTATTTCTTATTATTAGTTTCTTTTTATATTTTGATTATCAAATTTTACACAATAAGTGCTAGTATCACTCTAAAAAAAGATTTGATCATGAAACCATTTGCATTTAGCTAAATTAATTTATCATTTCATTTACTGAAATGCAAATAATAATCTTTTTTCATGTTATGTTTTAATGTTTTAAATAATATTTCAAATTGTTTTATTTGCTTTTATTCATCTTTTTTCTTTGGTTCTAGTTCACTGGTTGATCATTTTATAAATTAATTCGTATATCTTTTACCCATATTCTCATTTTATTACATTGCATTTATCAGACTAAAAATCTTTTCTATTATCTATGATATCATAAAGGGAAAATTTCACTAATAAATTCAAACTTTATTTTAGCCGTGGTTTAGCCATCTTTTCCAGTGATAATATTTCAACTATTGCAATCGTTCGTGATGTTCTGAGTAAAGAAGTGACCAAAAGACAAGTTAGAGTGGACATTCAATATGGAAAGCATTTTCATTTATATCTTTTTAAATTCTTGCATCTAATTAATCCAATCCAGCAGTATTTTACCGATCGAAATAATAATCAATAATTTTTTTTTTCTTTTTTTTTAGGAAATTTTTGTTATTCTTAAATGTAATTGAATGAAATTATTTGTTATTCACTCATTGAATAATCATAATTTTAGATCTGAATGAGCAAAGTATCCTTCATGTCCTACAACTACTTCATCCAAAACTTGATCACTATGCAAAAGTGACAAAAAAGTTTGAACTATGTCGAGCGCTCAAAGTTTATTTTTATTTATTACCTTCCAAGTTTACATTTTCACTTCTCCTCTAATGTGTTGTTAAATTTAATTTAACTTTTTCAATCTTAATTCAAGGAAATTTGTGGAATATAATCATAATGCATCATCCTTCTATATTGCATTAGAATTTAAATTTAAATTAACAAATTCACTCTGAATAGTATGCAATGTGATTGAGAAAAAAAAAGAAACTTAAAATTAATTTTACATGAATTAACGGATAATACCGACGACTTATCCTATCTATCTGCTGATACAAAGGAAATCATAGAATCATTTGATGAATTGCACAAGGAAATGAGTTCTCGTGGAACATATTTCGATCGTCTCACTGGTATCACTATGAATCTATATATTGGTAAGGATTATCTAATCTTTGATTGATAATATTTATGAAATCTAAATAAGCGCATTAATGAATAAAATTTTGAAGAAAAAACTCTTTCAGATAGAGAACGAATGTTTGGAAGAAATGGTAAATTAAAAATGGATGAGCTTTTTGATATTATAACAAATTATGATTATAACAAATTACTGCAATTTTTCAACGCTAAAACTTAGATATGTCAAATTGTCATATATTCAACAAATTGAACCATGTAAAATTGCTCTTGCAATTTTAGAGCTAATAATTAACTTGAGAAGATTATTGATCTGAAAATTATCTCGTTTTTATGAAGAAATGTAACAAATGAATAACTCCACTAATAAATGGCTCATTTTTCTATTTCCATCCTAGTAGAAATAGCACATGATGCTTGCAAGAATATGAATATATTATAAATCCTATAATTTAGTTCCATTCATTATCAGATGTTAAATTTCTTCAAATTCTGAAGAAAATTAATTACTTTTTTGTAATTGTCAAATCATTCGAGTAATTGCAATTGCAATACAAAAATAAAACTTTTTTTTCTTAAATCAAATATTAAAAAAAAAAAAAAGTGTTATACGGTAGCTTACAACTCAATCAAAAGATGAGCAAAATAAATTAAAAAGAAAGGAAAAAAAAAAAAAAGGTTGCGCACATTTTTTACTGAAATTTTTGAAAATTTGACAGACTTAGAAATTTACAAATAGAAACGAAATTTTCAATAAATTTATGAAAGAAATAAGAGAAATTTTTGCTAAACAAAAAGCCACCCATAAGGAACATTTAATATAAAAATAAACCAAGCATAAAAAATTTGATCTTAATTGAAATGAACTCAATTTGAGTACTTCAACAGTTGATTAATAACAAATAACAGAACAAACAAGAACAAAACATAGTAGTAAAAATAACTGTTACTGATAAAAAGTCACAGGAAATGTGACAGTAGCAGTAGTAACAATATTTCGGCTTAGCTATATATCGCATAAAAGAACTGGAAATTTTTGAAACATACAAAAATGTCAGCCTAATAAACAATAAACCTTAAAAAGCACAGTAGCAAATATCGAGGGAGAGAGATAGAAAGAGAGAGAGAGAAAAAAAAAAAGACCCTTACAAAGAGAAACCCTCAAACGATAAAAAGAAGAAACATAAAAGATCAAAAGAAAATGAAACCATTATTTCATCAATTCACCAGATTAATTAGCAATTAAGCAATGCAATTAATGCTAATTCATATAATAAATATATGTTTCATTTCTACTGGATATGGATTATAGCAACGAACACGCAAAAATAAATTGCATTTTGAATTATCGAAATTACTCCACCTTCAGTACAATATTCTCGATAATCTCTGATATGTAATCGTATGCCGAGTACAATTATTCGAAATTTTTACTTATAAAGTAAATAATATTAACTTAAAATGCAATAGTTTAAAATTTCAAAAAAAAAAAAAAAAAAGATCCAACCGATAAAACTTTAATGTTTTAGAGTAAAAATACAATTTCCAATTGTATGAGACAAATATAAACCTCTATGCGGGCAGTATATTCAAAAAAAGCTCACCGAAGTGAAGGAAAAAGGAATAAACCAAGTAAAAAATAAATAAAAATAAAAGAGAAATTCGACGAGATCCATTCAAACAAACATTATTAGATATTACCATTCACTCATCTTAACGAACCAATACATTCGTTTGCTGCTGTTGATTAACTGTCGACGTAGTAGCGGAACCATTAATATTTGAAGCACTTTCTTCTAATTGTCGAATTGCTTCAAGAATTGTGTAAAAATTTGAATTCAAATTGGCTCCAGTAGCATTCTCCAGTGAATTAAAAAGAAATGGTGATTGATGTGTGAGTAAATCACCGATCGGTGGTGGTTGTGTTTGTGATGGTGATTTTTGATCATCAATAAAGCGTGCTTCATTGCTGGTTGCTATTGTTGATACTGCTGTTTCGGATACCAAATTACTCGTAAACATGCTTAAATCAAAACTCGTAGTTTGTAGTGGTCCAGCACTACCACTACCACTATCATTACCAGTACCACAACCATTACTACTACCTACTCGTGCATTGGTCAACAGATTATCGATCAGAAGTGCAGGCGGTAAAAGCCCTGAAAAAGAAAACGATTATTTCTAATCGAACTCTAAATGGGCAAAATTAACCTAAAACAGAAAAATTTTATTCAGATTTAGTGTAATGAAGATTAAGACATCTCGGTATTTTCACTATTTTTCAAAAATTTTGAGAGACATAAAATTTTTTTTTTAATTACTTTGAATTTTAAACAATTTTCCAATTTTTCAAATCAATCATTGAATCAAATGAATTTCCACATTACAGATAAGCATAGTTCCATATTTTCGAAATCCATTCAGAAGATACGGTGGGGATGAGAATGGAAAGGAGAAGAAACGGCACCGCCATAGTTACTTTGACAATTTGTTAGCGCTGTTAAGGATTAAATGTTTAAAAGAAAGCTTTTCCAATAGTTTTTCAAATATACAGAGAGAAATTCAAAACTCCCATGGGAACCTTCTAAATTACACCAGAATCTAATACATTTCAAATGGAATTGTTGAGAAATTCTGTAAAAATTTAGTAGCAAAATTTAATAAATCAATAAGTTTACTTTATAAAATTCACAAGTACTATTGATAACATCATTTGAATTTATTAGTGCTGTTAAGGGTAAAGTGTTAAAAAAGAAGTTTTTCCTTAGCAACACTTAACGCTAAATATTTTTAGCACATAACAGTGTTCTTAGAACTAAAAATTTTTTATACATACTGCATCAGCGGGCATAGTGTACAGCAAAATAGTCATCATTCTAAAATGAATGAAGAGAAACAACTGGAAGAAAACAATTCAGTTCACTAATAATTAATTATTTGAATCTAAAATTGAATTTCAAATGAAAACCTGTAAATCCGCGTGTATGCAGAAGTGGAGGTACGACATTCTGCAATGCAATAGCCGGATTAATTATTGACGAGTTTGGTTTTGAAAGGAACTGTGAAAGCACCGGTGAATTCGTCCATAAATTAAACATTCTCTCATAAAGGTGCCGCAAACGACGCTCATGTTCCAAAGCAGCTGTTAGCTCACCTATTACACCACGTTCTCGCATGTTTTCATCTGAAAAGAAAGAAGAAGAAGGAATATCATATGAATAAGAGAGTAATTCTATTCTTTTAATTATCCATTGCAGAAATCATAAATGTTTTTTGAGAAATTAAATGTCTAGAAATGTACTTAATGATTCTTTTATACACATTCGAACAACAAACCATTCAAACAAAAGTAAGATAATTTTGTACAATGTAAAACTTTTTTGTAAGTCAATATTTTTTTTTTTTTTTTTGTCCCCAAACATCTATTTCTTTTTTTTTTTCTTTTGACAGCTCTATGTGATAAGAAAGCATTGCACAAACTTGATCATATAATTCAACAGATAAAATTTCAAAATGAAAAATGGAGCAAATTCCTTTTTCTGTTATCAATTCAAACAAAACCTTGAATCTTTCGTTTTTTAGCATTTATAACTGTTTCTTTCTCTTCAATGAGTTTCATTTTTTCGGCACGCAATGTCTGAATCAGTTCCACTGTATGTTGTAATATTGCAGCCTAAAATATCTATATTTAACATGAAAAATTTCACACAGTAAAGGAAATATTGTAACAAAAATATCTTTGTTACTTAGTTAACATATTTTTTTTTTTGCTAAATGCTAGTTTCTCTTGATATGCCTAGCAGTTAATATAAGGTTTTTCTCTCTCTCCCTCTCTCTACCTATGTCCTTGAAAAGATACATCAAAATATGTTGTATCGTAGTGATGAACCAAATTATTATTTTCTATGATACATTTACAGCACAACAGTAAAAAAATATGGCAATCATATTTTCTTTTTTTTATAATTTATAAAAACACTTCATCATCATCTCTTCAGTGACAAATTTAATGAGGCATGCGATAATCAGAACAAAAAGACTCACTTTGCTTAACTTTTCGCCATCTCTTCTAGGCAATAATAACTTCAGTGACTGAAAACCGGCATTGATACTTTGCATACGACGACGTTCGTTGCAATTGGCAATTTGACGACGAAGACGTCGATCCGTTGTGTCTATATTACCGCCCATCGGCGGTGAAATGGGATCATTCGGTGGCTCACTACTGCCGGTATGATATGATGGTGATTCGCTGAAATTAATCTTAAATTATATTTGCAAATTACGATGAAAAAAACAAAAAATTTATGGTTTGATTACCTACATAAATAAAGGTAGAGTAAGTAAAGCAAACTTGCTAAAATATCAGGATAAAAGGAAAGATAGAAGGGATGCAAATATTTTACAGATTTTTAATTTAAGCTTACAACTTTGTACCAT